AGTTCGGACCAATGAACAATGTATTTGTTATTTCAAAAGAATTGAAAGGGAAAAGAACTTAATTTTATTGCATAAAACTAATCCTATTTTAGATCTATACACAGATATTTAATAAAGAATAAATAACTACAGAATCATGCATATTTTCTTAATATACATCTTCCTATAATCAGCCATGCCAATATGGAAGGGATCGACATGATCCAGTGAGCTCCCACGGACCCCTACGGCATGGATCAAGGGTGCATTGAGATAACATCCCTCTCACGAATCCATATGTTAGTTGGTGAGATCAAAAGAGTCAAGGGACGACTAGATTAAATTATTATAAGAAATTTTTTGGCTAAATGATTATATCTATAAAAGATTGATTATTTTTATAAGTAATACTTCTTTACATATAATAAATATATGTATTAAAAATGGTTCCTTATAAATTTCTAGTTTATATAACTAATTAACTTATAAATTTATTGAGAGTGGAACAGGATGACGCTACAAAAGATTGGATTAGAAATACTTAGAATGACATTCTTTATTAGATTTAAACGAGACATTAGTGATTTATATTAGACACAATGGCGAAAAAAAGGATTAAATAGTAGCCGACTACCCACGTAGTGGGAATAAAGGCATTGATGTTTTAGTTGTTGTATAAATATGTAGATGGATGAAAATAGGATAATAAAATTGGGTAATTTTTTAATTATTTTTAGTATTTTTTAATATTGACAATTCTTCCTTATTATTCGAATTTCCATCTCTGAATTGCTTCTATTTATAATTTATTCTAAAAGTGAGGCGAACTTTAATGCCTTAATATTTTTCCTTTTTTTCCAATTTATTTCTTTATCCCACATAGTCTTATATTTTTATTCACAATAAGGGATTTTTCGCTTTTTCAATATTCTCGCACTTCAATTATAATGTCTTATGGATTTTATCGCAGTAAGCTAGTTGTTTTGTACACTAAACAACAATTCATCGTAGTGACTCTAATTTTTCAATTTATGAATATTTATTGAGCATTGATACATGAATTTATGTAATTCAAACATATTTGTTGTAACCATGGCTTAAATTACGAATAGAGGCGGCCTCAACCGCAATTCTGCCAAGATTACCCGTCAAAGCTTTAACGCATATGTGGTTGAAATTTGAGAGGAGGTAAAACGCTCAATTAATTGGGCGGCTACGCCATTTAGACAAAAGAAGATTCGCCTTTAAATAAAAAAACACTATACTAAACCTTTATATATATTATCGTTGCTATTGAACTTCGAAATTATACACAATGGCATACTTCGATAGAATCTTAAAAAGACAAAAGTCGCCATGATGCTTTTCATTTTTTTCTTCGCAAGCCTCGACGTCGATTCTACTATGCGATCGTGCTTAGAACGCTGCTCGGCACAAACTTCGACCATAGTAACATGCTTCGACTGGAGCTTGAGG